TATTCTTATCCTCTGCCCCTTTCCTAATTAGTTGCTAGTCTTTTTTTCTTAATAATGCATAAGTACTCTGTGTCATATATGTTAAAGACTTTTTTGATCCAGTCTTTTGACTTTATTATGGTCTTTTTTTGCCATGTAAATTTACTAATTATTTTCCTTTTGGCTTCTGGATGGGATGTTTCTTCTCTTCAAGATTATGAAAATATTCCAGTATTTTTATTTCATTTTAAGATTTTGATCCACCTGGATGTTATTTAGTAAAAGATTCAGCATTTCCTCTCAAATGGCAAGCTGTTTCAACTCCATTTATTAAGTAATTATTTGTATTACTTTGAAATGTTACTTTGATCATATACTAGCAAACCAAATATACTATTTATTTTCTGTGATCTAGTTACAGATTTCTAGGCCAACAACACAAAACTAGTATAATTTCATAAATTTTAATGAGTCCAGCCTCATCATTCTTCTTTTTTCAGATTTTTCCAAGCACTTCTGCCATGTTATTCTTCAAAATAAACTTCAGTTATTTATGAATTGTCTTCTCAATAAATAAATAACAACAAACAAAATCCCACTGATATTCTGATTAGGATTGCATCAGACTTAAAAGATCACTTAAGAAACAATATTGAGCTTTTTAAGAATATGGCACTTTTTTTCTAAACTAAAAAAATATAACTAAAATAGGCACTCATACTTTCTTGATGAAAGTACAAAGTGGTAATGTTTTATGGAGACAATGCAGAGTTTTTCTCAAAAGTTTAAATACATCTTTTAAGTCATTCAGGAGAAATTACATTTTCTTCATATAGGTCTTTCATATTTTTTTCAACAAATTTGATTAGCACTGGGTGGAAGTGAACGTAAAACTATAGACCCTACAAAGAGATGAATGAGGTAAAGGAATTACCTCTAAAAAGCCACTATTTTAAAGTAGCTTGGGATCTGCTCCAAAATAAGCAGGACAGCCAACATTTCCTTATCAAGCTTCTCCATTTTTAACAGCGAATGTCAACCTTGCTTTGGCTCAACTTATATAAGCCTCCCTGAACTTAACTTTATTGATTACAGCCATCCACTATGACACTCCTGCAAATTCCTCTAAAATAGTCCTCTAAAATTCATCCCCATTGCATACATTTTTGACTTCACAGACTTCACCTCACTTTGACTATTCAGTGAAAATTGCAGTACTTATTCTTAGAAAAATTCACACATCACATAATTTCACATATAATTTTAGGAGAGTCAGTGAAAATGCCTGCTATAAAGGGTGTCTGGATTAGAATGAACCTATTCCAGTCAGCTGCTACAATCACCTGCAGATAGGTCTACAGAGTAATTCAGGTACAATGGCACATTCATCACACTTCATATGGGGGCTTTTAAATTTAAAACTTAAAAAAAAAATATAGACTTTATAGAAAAGTTACAAAAACAGTACAAAAGATTTTTCATTCAGATTCCTCAAAAGTTAAAACATTTAAATTTTAAGCAACATTAACTTGAGATTTTGACTATACTGCAGTTCAAGTTGCTTAAACAAGCAATCAATTTAATACCTAGGGCGTATTAATAATAATCTTAGAACAAGACCAACTTCTCATATCAACAATTCCCAAATCTCCAAAACTGAGAGATTTTTAACTCCTTCAGCAGCAAAACCTGAGTCAGTCTACAATCGTTATTTACCCATTATAAGGTAAACATTTATAGGTTTCACTGCACAAACAGTACTGTTTGATTACACAGTGTTGTCCCAGACCTATGAGGGGTGAATGGAATATATAGTAAATGTGGCATATTCCTAAGAATTTCAGTGAAGGGAATGTAAACCTTCAATGTCACTGTGTATTATTTACTATGTGCCAGGTACTACTTTAGTTATTATTAATAATTCATTTAACCCTCTCAATAACCTGGTAAGTCAGATTTTGCCCAAGGTCACCTAATGTATAATCAAACAGTAGAGGCAACATGCAAATTTACATTGATCAGAGACAAAGTTATAACCAACTTTTGAAAGTTATTAGAAAAAAGTATTGAAAACTAGTCTCTTAGAATACTGGGGGCATGGGAGCTGAACAGAATTCTTTGAAAAAATTTCATTTCCCCTTCCCTCTTTCCAGAAAATACCACTGCAATCATCTAAAACCTTGCTCATTTTCATGTGTTCATTGTATCTTATTGCTCAGCTGATAAGATACAAATATCTCAAAGTAATTCTAAATGTCTTTATTTTTTTCTCTTAAAGGTGAAGTATAAGACACCCGAATCCTGATTCTGTCTACATTATATTAACTATATAGACCAAGAAAAGATTAGAACTATACATTCAATAAGTACATTTTCTGTATTTATCTAAATCAGTGGTTCTCAAATGGGGGTGATTCTGCCTCCTGCAGTGGACATCTGGCAATGTCTTAACAAGAAATAAAAAATCCAAGAGCTCAACCTCTCTAATAAAGCTGCCCACAAAAAAGTTTGGTAATATTCAACAAAAGTTAAGGTATAACTATAATAGGCACTCATACTTTCTTGATGAAAGTACAAAGTGGTAATGTTTTATGGAGACAATGCAGAGTTTTTCTCAAAAGTTTAAATACATTGTACTCTCTAATCCAGTAATTCTGCTTTCTAGGAATTGATCCTACAAAGAAAAGTCATGTAAGCACACAAAACAATTTGTTCAAGGCTCTTTAATACTGTGTTATTTATAATAATTAAAAACAAGACATAAAATAAGTGTTCATGAATATGAGAATAATTAAATGAAACAGGATATAGTCAAAGGTGGAATATCCTACTTAAAAATAATGAGGCAGATTTGCATTAACAAGAAAAGAGGTTCATAATATATTGCTAAATGGAAAATCTAGCTGCAGGAAAAAAGGATGTGCATTTATTCATAAAAAAATTAATGTTTAACTTGAGCAGAGTCATGTCACTTTATATAGTTTTAAGTATTTTATATTATGTCTTACTTTATTACATGAAAAAAAAGAGAAAACATGATTAGAAGGAAACGTTACGAAATTTTATCAGTGGCCAACTCCAGATAGTGGAATTACAGGTAATATTTTTCCTTTAAATTTTTAATGATACAGATGTATTATTTTTACAATAGCTACTATAAACTGATTCCTTCCCACATGCCACTTACTGCCTATGTGAATGAATACACTAAAAGGCCACAACTCTATACGGCAGCTATCATGAGCTCCATTTTGCAGATGGCAAAAGACTAAGAAAAGGATTCTAAAGCCTATTATTACATACTATGTTGCTAACCTCCTCCTAGGAAACACTAAAAATTTAAGAAAACCAATCCCAAATCTCTATAAATTTATGAACAAAAGACTAACACAAGAAGAATCTGATTTGCCATTTGCAGAGACCCGGGGAGTTTCAAAACAACCACAAATATACTAAACCTGGAAAATATACTGAGTGTAATATTCTTGGTAAAAACTTTCCGCATACATTCATGTATCTAGAGACACAAAAATGTTATACTTGAGGCCATCTGCTTTTCATTACTGAGAACTAATCTCTGATTACAATCATTCTGAATGGTTTCTTTCATAAAACAGGAACACATTTTGTATTTCAGAAGGCACTAATCAGTTACCATAAACTTCTAACCAGTTACCATAAAACTTCAAATTATGTCAATTTCTAAATATGTCAGTTTCAAAACACACAAAAGAATCATCTCACATTTGATAAACGCAAGACATTACTTCACTTTTTTTTTTTTCGAGACAGGGTCTCATTCTGTTGCCCAGACTGGAGTGCAGTGGTGCAGTCTTGGCTCACTGCAACCTCTGTCTCCTGTGCTCAAGGGATGCTCCTACTTCAGCCTCCTGAGTAGCTGGGACCACAGCTGGGTGCCACCACACCTGGCTAATTTTTGTATTTTTAGTAGAGATGAGGTTTCACCATGTTGCCTAGGCTGGTCTCAAACTCCTGGCCTCAAGGGATCCACCTGCTTCAGCATTACTTTTGGAAGGTAACCAGGAAAAATGAAAAACCATTTTTACAAATATTTACGTCTTATATAAAATAAATGGATAACGCCATCTTCTAATTATGTTAACAGCTTTGAAAAGGTAGAAGTTTTACTAGAATAATGATAATTCTGATGGCTTTGTCTTTTCAATTTTTGGAAGAGTACAACTGGAAAGGCACCGTAGAGCTGACCTGGGTCAACTCCCCATATCATACAACTGAGGCCCAGAGAAAGGAAGGTGATTTGTTCAAGGCCTCACAGTTACTAAGAGGCCGGAAAGGGAGGGACTCCCTCAAGTTTTCAAAAATTCTAAATGCAAAATCTTGACTTCTGAAAGGTATTATCTGATAATTTAGTTGGCTTAAAGTACTTTGGGATCCTGTTCTCCTTTGTACTCTTGGGGCCTTTTCAACCAACATTTTCAGACAGCAGCAAACTAATCTCTGTTATATTATCTGTACTCAAGAGTTCAAAGGCCCCTTCTCCATTGACAGCTTTTAAATGAAATCTTATTTGGAAACCCAGTGGAGAAAGAAAAAAGCAGAGTTGCCTTTAAACAGTACAGAAGTCCTGCTTTTACTTGCTTTGTCCTGGAAGTCCCTGAAATACTTTCTTGGTATCTTAGGTCTCAAAGAAACAGTTTATTTCTATTGTATGAGAGTGTTCTAGGGCACTGCTACTCAAAATGTTTCTCAAACAATCAGCATCACTGAGGAGCTTGTTAGAAATGCACAATATCAAACTCCAACCCAGGCCTACTAAAAAATCACAAGCATACTTAACAAGACGCCTAGGTGACTGGTATGCACCCAGATATTTATTAGAGTTACATGACATACAATTGCTACAGTTATCTTGTCATGGACCAATAACAAACAGTTTAGAGAATCACATTTGGGGTAGCAATGCTCTATAGCAACCAAACCTTAAAGAATGATCCTGATCAAATCAGAACACCTGATATACTAAAAAGTTAGAAACTTACTTCTTATCAAAAAAGGTTGAATTCTCCTTCCTCTTGGTGAATCCATTGGGTAGAAGTTTTAAGTTAATACCTTGCCTTCGGGCACGATTTTTCATAAAGTACATCTAACAACCAAAACCAAACAGACAAATTAATTTCTAAATTCCTTAAATTTAAAGAGTGAGTAAAACAATGTTCAATAATAGTTAAGATTTACTGAGAACCTAAGTGTTATAACAGCTCTAAGCAGTAACCTCATGTAATCTTCACAATGACACTATGAGAATAGGTATTATCATCTCCATTTTAGCAATAAGAATTAGTGAAACCCCAAAATCATACAGCTATCCCAGAAAGACAGAACCTGTACTCAAACCCAGGTCTGTCTAATTCCAGAGCTTGTGCTTTTAACCCATATGTTCTATGAGCCAAAGAAGAATTTAATGGAGATTAAAACAAACAAAAACACAGGTCATTTGGCAATCACAGGGGCTACCTACACAATTCTTGATTTCTTTTACTGATGGTTTTACCAGTTAGCTGTATATATATATCTCTGATTTTATTACTAGACAGCTCACTAAAGGGAAGAGCCATGGCATTGCCTAGTACAAGGCCTAGCTTAAAGTAACCACTGTTGTGAGAAGCACAAAATGGGATATGAGAACATTCTGGCTCTGACATGTGTTATTACATTGACCACTTGGGTTGATTAAGCTAAACTGGGCAATTCCAGAATTATGAAGGAAGTAATACCAGATTTTTATTAAGTCAAGGAAGAAGAAAGATCACTCAAAGAAAAGGGAAAATATAAATGCAAGTTTTTTGTTAAGTGAATAGGGATCTAGAATTTGCAATGTAAAGTCAGAATCAAGTCATAAGCCAAGGGAAAGGATGGGTCAGCTACCACCGGCTAAGTAAGAAAATGTTTTAATAAATTACATGTAATTTTATAATTTAGAGGACTTTGGTTTCAGTGATGGTAGTGATTATTATAAATAATTATAACAGCAGTGACCAACCCTCCTAATACACCTTCAGGGTAAGGGTGAACCAGAAACAATCTCTACTTTTAGAGCAAGCTAGGAAACTTGTATGGTTACACTGAAACAGAGGAAAAAAGAAAAAAAAATTCATTAGCATTTAGGGCTATGGGCCATCCCTTGCTTAGATTCGCAATTATTTTGCCTTGAAAACAGCACTGAATAGCCATACTTTAGAAAAAAGGAAGTAGGAGGACTTAATCAGATAACAAGTTTCAGTAAAAAACCACAGTAATTGACAGAGCATAGTATTGGTGCAGGATATACCAGTAGGCCAACAGAATGGAAAAGACAAGGCCACAAAATGACTCAAGCACAGAGGGATGCTGATATATGACAAAGGTGGTCCTACAGAGCAGTAGGGAAAGGATGAACTTTCCAATAAATGGTGCTGGGAAAAGTGGATTATCCATATGAAAAATTAAATGGGAACTCCTCTGTACATGATACCAAAAATCAATTCCAGTTAAAGACATAAGTGTAAAATACAACAGTATGAAGCTTTTAGGCAATAATTATGAGAGAATAACTTCCTAACTTCATGGTAGGGATGGAATTTCTTTATAAACATATAAACCTACTAACTATAAAGGAAACAAATGATAAATCTGACTACATTAAAACTAAGAACATCCATTCACCACAACACACTACAGAATGAAAAGACAAGACAGAGACTAGAAGAAGATATTTACAACATAAAACCAACTTGCACTAGCATCCAAGAAATACCAAGAATTCTCACAAACCAGTAAGAAAAATAAAGCTGACCAATGAAAAGATGAGCAAAAGACTTTAACAGGCACTGCATAAAAGAGGAAATACAAATGGCCAATAAAGTACTTGAAACGTGGTTCAATCTCATCAGGAATTAGAGAACTGCACATTTAAAACCACAATAAAATTACACAGCTAACAGATTGACAAAAATTTTTAAAGTCTTACCAAACTAAGGACTGGTGAGAATATGACAACAGGTACATTCATACACTATTGGTGAGAGTGTAAACTAGTATAATCACTTTGGAAAATGTTTTGGTAACATTTAGGCAAACTGAAGATATGCATACCACACAACAAAGCAATTCTATTCCCAGGTATAAACCCTACGAAAACATGTTCACATGCATACTATAATTCATAGACAAAAGTAGTGGCATTTTTTCTAAACCGTTTTTTATTCTTACAGAAAATCCAAAATCCATAAAAAAAAAAAATGCATACACATACTGTGGTACAGTCCTAAGATAGAAAAAAATATTAAGAAATGAGAAAAGATCAGGGAAGGGCATAAGAGGGTGGCATGGAACTTCCGGGAAGCCAGTAATGTTCTAATTCTAGACTGGGGTGGTAGTTACATGAATATTCATTTTATAACTATTCATTAAACTGTGTATTTCCATTTTGTGATTTTTAGAAAATATACATGCTATACTTCACAATTAAAAAAATTGTAAAGTAATTTATCTTTAGGTAGAATTTTAATTATGCCTAATTAAGTTTGAGGAAAAATAAGAGTTGCTATATGAATAATTTTCTTTCAGATATGTGTGATGTAATTATGTCTGTACCAATAATACCAATAAAACAAGGTGTGTAAAAGGTATTAAAATTCTGCAACTCCAATACTAAAATCAACACAATTCCAGGATACTATTTAACCACACCATACACGAATTTCTACAACACCAGTTGCCAAAAAATTCCAAATATGTAAGCTTTAATTTTGCATAGTATTTAAGGAATTAAAAAAGGAATGTAAGAGTATGAAAACTGAGTATATTAGAAGAGCAAGTCTTGTTAGCTCTTCCTTCAAAATCAGAATCTAATCCCTTCGCAATAATTCAAACAGTATAACCAAGCCACTATTATCTCACAAGGACCGTGGGAAGAGCTGCAGAATTTGTCTCCCTACTTCTAGTCTTCCACTCTTGCCCCCCTAAAGTTCACACAGCAGCAAGAGCGGTTTTTCAAAAGGCAAATTTAAGTTCAAAACCCTGCCATAGTTTCCATTTGCACTTAGAATTAGAAACCCTCACCACTTTCTTTTCTTTTTTCTTTTGAGACAGAGTCTCACTCTGTTGCCCAGGCTGGAGTGCGGGGCGCAATCAAGGCTCACTGCAGCCTTGACCTTCCTGGGCTCAGGTGATCCTCCCTCCTCAGCTTCCCAAGTTGATGGGACTACAAGGGCACACCACCACATCTGGCTACTTTTTGTATTTTTTCATGGAGACAGGTTTTCATCATGTTGCCCAGGCTGGTCTTGAACTCCTGAGCTTAAGCAATGCTCTGGCCTCAGCCTCCCAAAGTGTTTGGATTACAGGAATGAGCCAGTTACTCTAACTTCATTTTCAATACTCTCTTCCTCACTCACTATGCTTCAGTTACCTTGCCAATCTTTTAATTCCTCAAACCAGACATCCTTGTTTCTGACTCAGGTCTTTCCTTTTACTTTTGTCCCTACTTGGAATAATCTTCCTCCAAATGTTTACATGACAGCTCTTTCTCAGCATTCAGATCACTGCTTACATATCATCTCTTAGAGAAGCTTCTCCTGACCACTGTATCAAAAATAGTACCCTGACAATCTCTCCCCAACAAAGACCATTTTCATTCTCTCTTTAATCTCTTGAGCCTTCTTTATCTTCTATATGAACTTAACTCTATCTGAAACTACATTTGTTCCTCCACTCATCTCCTCTATCTCCCACTAAATACAACTCCACGAGGGGACAGACTTCGTTTGGGTCACCGCCATATCCTTAAGTAATCAGAACAGCTCTACATCATGGTAGCCACTTAATATATATTATTTGGTAAGTTAAAAAAAAAAAAAAGAATCTAATTGATTTGAAGGACTTCTAACTGGAAGAAATTAGGAAAAAATCTTACATGTTTATTGCTTATTGGTCTTTTCAAGAAAGCATCTCTAGAAATATGGTCCGCTGTTCTTGCCACATCTTCCAAAAATCGATAATCTAAAAATTTCAAAACAGAAGAATAAACAAATGACATACACCAATGGCCAGAAAGCCTCAATTTGCTATGCATAAAGTGGCTTACCACTTAGGAGATTCATTTCAGTAAACTGTTGTATTGAAACGTATGCAGTTTTATCTCGAACTCCATTACATGTCAGTTCTGCTTTGTGTTTCTTTACACAGGGCAAACTGAAAAGACAAAGGGGAAGTACTTTTATACTTTAGGGTAAGAAAGGTACAGATACAGGTTAAAAGGTAGGAAGTTACATGTATACCTGCAGGAATATCGCATACAACGTGGACATCTGTACTTTGCTTCTTCTGTACCACAAGTTTCACACCTGCAAAAGCCCACATGTAACATTAAATTATCAAATATTAACTCTATTTATTTATAAACTTAGAATGTCCCAACTTATAAACTCAGTGACAAGTAACTCTGAAAAAATATTTGATAGCTGTTGAACATCATTTGAAAATTCTTCTCTATGAAACCTTCCCAAAACAACTACATTTCCAATGTTGTTAGTGACATGTAACTCAGGAATGTGTATTAAAATTTTTAAAACCCATCTCGCTTTTGACTTCTTTTTTTACTCTAATCAGGGAATGAGATTATTCACTGATATTTTAACTTGTGATTCCTGGAAATGCGGTAATGATTGTATGTGTGTGTATCCAGGAGTCCAATCCATGAGCTATGTTTAGATATTTTTAAAGCACACACTAGAAAAAGAATATAAGGCCAAGTGAAATTTAGAGAGTAGTAGTAGCATCTTTTTTCCTGAACTCCACACCTAATCTAGAATGAGCATCGAAATAATCTATAAATGCCATGTAACCCATCATCTGTCCTCAACTGCTCTTCTATGCTCTTGGGATACTGACAACCAAACTACAGTTACTTATATTTAGCCCACTGTGTTCTAGACGGTAATATTCCCAAGAATCTGACTACTCTTATTTCCTTTGTCACATGATCCACACACTAAGGAAATTAAATCAAAAGCAATAAATATTCACAGCACCCATGCAGAAGCTTGATAATTGAGGTCAAGTGTAATTTTGCCTAATTTTAACTTACTCTACGTTGTCATTGTTGGTTTTATTAGACTTTCTCATCTCTATTCTCTCTCAAAGGAATACCGAGTAAAGAGCATATTAAGTCAAGCCAGATCCAGTTCCAAATGATCTTTTGGTCCCCAGAATTTTCACTTTCCTAACTTGCCCATTACCCAATGGACACTACCAACTTCATATATTTTCACTGAATTTGTTGTGTTGTCATCCACAACACCCTCCACTTCCCAACCCACCCCCACGAACGCCGTCTGACTCCAGAAACCCAAACTTGTGCTTATTTTTCATTATTCCACCTTCTCCTGATAGTGTGGTTTCCTTCACTCTAGACATGAGGATTCCACAGCTTTATTCCCCTAAATGGAATTCCCCATGCCCTACCTTGACATGGCCAGTTTCCGCTTGCAACCCACCGGGTGATTTATCGGAAGCTCTTCTTTCACCTTTGTATCATCCACGGTTTCTTTCTTCAGGAAATCCTTCTCTTCTTTTACACACTCTCCATGCATCACTTCCTCTTTTATGTATTGACCAACAAACTTCTCCTCCTGTTTTATCTCCGAGTTATCCTTCTCTTCCTTCACTTCTGACCAGTCCATTACCTCTTCCTTTACCTTCTCTTCCTTTACCTCTGGGTCACCCACCTTCGCCTCTTTTACCACTAAACTACTATCCATCTCCTGCTTCACCTCCAATGCGCCTGCGTTCTCATCCTTCACCTCAGGCCTATCCTCCACCTCCTGTTTTACCCACTGGCCAGCCAATCTGCCTTCTGTATCTGGCCAGTCCATAATTTCTTGCTTCACTACCGTTAGGTCCATCGGTATTTCCTCTGGCCTTTGTTCACTTCCTTTCTCTCCATCCCCTATCTCCTTCATTCCTGTCAGCCCTTTCCCCTCCTCTCCGCCGCCGACCTCCTCCGCCCGCGCTAAGTGCCTGACTCCCTCCCTGCCAGGCTCTGGACTTAGCCGCACCCCCTCAGCTACGCTGTGGAGACCTCCCCCAGACTTCCCTTCATTTTCAGCAGCAAACTCCATCAACTCACAATACTTGGCCTCTGTTGCCACTCTATCCTTCAATGTGGCTGCTGCACACCAATAGGAGGAATTAGCGATCGGAATACCTACGGCGGCCCACGTGCGGAGCCAAGTAGCCAAAAGCCCGGAATAGTCAGCTTGACGCGACTGCTCGAATCGCCGTAAAGCAACGCTTTTGCGCCTCGATACTTCACGACTTGTAGAACTCTTTACGGCTCTGCGGAGGCCCTGCGGGGTGCTCTGGGCCAATGAGCGTAACTGCGTGACTTGACCAGCGGTATTCGCGTCTCCCGCCTGGTTTCCACTACACCCTTGCCCTAGGGAAGCCTCCTGGGCCACACCCTAGGCCACCCTGCACGCCCTACTCGGTGTAAAGAGTGGAGGAGACCGGCAGAGGGAGAGAAGCGAAACCCTTACACTCTGGAAATGGGAAAACCCACCTTCATCAGTGTTAACCATTAAATCCAATCTTGTATGAAAATAGACACACCTGATGTTACGCCTTTCCAAGCTTTAGTTTCTTAAAGCTATAAACTAGGGACCATGGTATTATTAATACAAATCTCAGTGTCATTGCGAAGATTATGAGATCATGCATGGGAATTAACTAGCAGTGACGGACACAAACTCAATAGATAACTGGGAATCCTGATGGGTTTCAAGTAGGAAAGAGGGCATTAATTTTTGTTTCCATTCTTTCTAAGTAACAGCCTGACGCAGGCATTCTGCAGGATTCTGCAGCATTTTGCAGGATTCTCTCAGAGAACATCATAAATATATTAGGTGAAAGTGCCTAATGCCCGATATTGCTGAGTTGCATTGTATGAATTGCATTGTATGAATGTGGCACGTTTTTTCATGCATGTACCAGTTGGTGGGCATTTGCCTTGTTTCCAGTTTAGGCTATTACGAATAATTCTGCTTCCACATTCATATACAAGTATTTGTGTGGACGTGTTTACATTTCCCGTAAGTAAATAACTAGGAGTGGAATTGCTGGGCCATATAAATTTATGTTAATTTTTAAAGAAATGCCCAAACTGTTTTCCAAAGTAGCTATACCATTTTACATTCCCACTGGCTGAGGATTCCTGTTTCTCTACATCCCTGCCAATTCTTAGTATTATCAGTTATTTGATCATAGATGTGTAGTGATATGTCGTTGTGAATTTAATTTACATTTCGTTAATGTTATTAAATTACATTTCTTTAATGACTAATGATATTGAACATCTTTTCATGTTCAACTGGCCACTTATTTTCTTTAATGAAATGTTTATTCAAATCTTTTGCTCCTTTTTAATTGACGTCTTTTATTATCAAATTATAGTAGTTATTCATATATTATGCATATAGGTTTATGGTAGACAGGCACCAGTATGTTCCCCAGTGATCCCCCCACCCCCACAGTGTTCAGACCAATGTGTAGACTGCTCCTGCATCATCCCAGGATTGGTCTGTGTTACTGATAGCATACAGTAGAAGTAATACGTTACCTCTAAGATTAGGTTTGGAAAAAGGCTGTGGCTTCTGCCTTAGGCTCTTGCTCTTTTGTTCTCCTTCCTAGATCATTCACTCTGGGGGAAGCAAGCTGCCAGGTTGTGAGTACCAAGAGGCCCATGTGGCAGTGGGCCGAAGTTACTGGCTCTTACAGGCTGAATTGTGTCCCCTCAAATTTGTGTGTTAAATCCGTAACAGCCAGTACCTCAGACTGTGAGTGTATTTGGAGATAGAACCTTTAATGGTGATTTCATTAAAATGAGACCATTAGGGTGGGCCCTAATCCAATCTGACTGATATCTTTATAAGAGGAGGAAATTTGGACACAAAAAGAGACATGAGAGATGCCTGCAAAGAGAAAAGACTATACAGTGGTACAGTGAGGTGGCCACTTGCATGCCAGCGAGAGAGGCCTCAGAAACAACAAGACTGGTGGTGACAACTTATTTTGGAGTTCTAGCATCTAGAACTGTGAGAAAATAAATTTAAGTTACTCAGTCTGTGCTAGTTCATTATAGTGGCCTTGGTAAACTAATGCCCTGGTCAACGATCAGCAAGGAATTTCAGCCTGTCAACAGCATGTGAGTGAATTTGGAGGAAGATTCTGTAGTCCTAGTCCAGTTTTACATGACTGTGGCTCTGGCCAACAGCTGCACCCAGATTCCGAACACTCAGAAATTGTGGGAAGGGATAAATGTTTCTTCTTTTAAACTGCCAAATTTCTGGATAGTTGATACAAAGCGATGCATAATTAATACCAATTCCTTGTATGGTTTGCAAATACTTTTTCCCAGTTTTTGGCTTTTCCTTTTCTTAGTTGTGTCTTTAAAAGAGCAAAAAATTTGCACTTCAATTAAATCCAGTTTATCAAGTTTTATTTTTATATTTTGTGACGGAGTCTCACTCTTGTCACGCAGGCTGGAGTGCAATGGCGTGATCTCTGCTCACTGCAACCTCCACCTCCTGGGTTCAAGTGATTCTCCTGCCTCAGCCTCTCGAGTAGCTGGGACTACAGGCAGGTGCCACCACACCTGACTAATTATTTTTGTATTTTTATTAAAGATGGAGTTTCACCATGTTGGCCAGGCTGGTCTCAAACTCCTGACCTCAGGTGATTCACCCGCCCCCAAAGTGCTGGGATTACAGGTGTGAGCCACTGCACCCGGCCTCTCAATTTTTAAATGAATTTTTTTTGTGTGTCACGCTAATAACTTTTTGCCTAGCTCAAAGTTGCAAAGAGATATTTATCCTATATTTTCTAGAAGTTTTATAGTTTTAGCTTTTATATTTAGGTCTGTGATCCATTTTGAGTTGGCTTTTGTATCTAGAGTCATCCCTCTGTTTCTGTGGGGGACTGGTTCCAGGACCACCACAGGTCTGAGAATGCTCAAGTTCTACAATCTGCCATCTGCATCCATTGTTTCACATCTGTAGGTTCCACCAACTGTGGACATTTGATCCACAGTTGGTGGAACCCATATGTGGTAGAACTAAGGATATCATCCATAACGTGGACAAGGTAATGGTTTAAGTTTCTTTTTTTTACATATGGATATCTTATTGTCCAAGCACCGTTTGTTGAAGCCTATTCTTTATCCTTGAATTGCCTTGATATTTTAAAAAATCAATTGACCACAAAGATAAAGATTTATTTCTGGACCTTATATTCTGTTTCATTGATCTATATGTCTATCCTTACACAAATACCAAACTTTATTATGACTTTATAGTAAGTCCAACTTTCTTTTCTTTTGAAAATTGTGTTGGCTATTCTTGGTTGTTTGCATCTCTGTATATTTAGTGCCAGCTTGTCAATTTCTACAAAAGAACTTGGGATTTTCATCGGGATTGTGTGGAATATATAGATAAGTGAGGGGAGGATTGTCATCTTAACAACATTGTGTCTTATCCATGAAAACGGAATGCCATTCATTTATTTAGATTGTCTTTTATTTAGATTGTCTTTAACTTGATTTACCAATGCTTTGTAGTTTTCAGTGTACAAGTTTTTACATATCTTTTGCTAAATTTATTCCTAAGCATTTTATTCTTGATGTGATTTTTTCTTTTTCTTTAAATTGAGACAGGGTCTCCCTCTGTCACCCAGGCTGGAGTGCAGTGGCACAATCATGGCTCACTGCAGCCTTGACCTGGTTTCAAGCTATTCTCCCACGTCAGTCTCCCAAGTAGCTGGGACCACGGGCGCATGCCACCATGCCCGGCTAAATTTATTTTTGGTATTTTTTTTTTGTAGAGATGGGGTTTTGCCATGTTGCCCAGGGTGGTCTCAAACTCTTGGGCTCAAGGGATCCGCCCACCTCAGCTTTTCAGAGTGCTGGGATTACAGGCATGAGCCACCGCACCTGGCCTTGATATGATTTTAAATGAGGATTACTCATTTAATTTCATTTTGGATTTTTCATTGCTAGGTTGCAGAAATAAAATTGATTTTTGTATTTTGATTTCATATCCTGCAACCTTAATAAACTCAAATGTTTTATAATATCTCAACATAATTGGATTCAATTAACTTATATTTTGTTTAGGAGTTTTCATCTATGTCTATGAAGGATATTTATTTATCTGTAGTTCTTTCTTCTTGTAATGTTGTTAGGTTTTGTTATCAGAGTTTTCTGCATACCTTTTAACTTTTATGTTTCCCATCTCTTTATTGCTTCCAGATACTTTCTGGGAGAGTTCCCCAAGCAATTTCTACCTTACTATTTTGGTATTTGATGGTATGCAATCTGTTAGTCAACCTATCCACTAAGTTCACTTCAATCACTATGTTTTTCATAACCATTGTCTCTAGCTTATTATTGCTTCATATTTCTAATATCCCTCTTTATCTCTCTGAAGGTATTCCTTTAACTCATTTTATTTATTTATTTATTTATTTTTTTTTTATTTTTATTTTTGTTTTTAAGACGGAGTCTCTCTCTGTTGCCCAGGCTGGAGCGCAGTGACGCGATCTCAGCTCACTGCAAGCTCCGCCTCCCGGGTTTATGCCATTCTCCTGCCTCAGCCTCCTGAGTAGCTGGGACTACAGGCGCCTGCCACCACGCCCGGCTAATTTTTTGTATTTTTAGTAGAGACGGGGTTTCACCGTGGTCTCGATCTCCTGACCTTGTGATCCGCCCGCCTCGGCCTCCCAAAGTGCTGGGATTACAGGCGTGAGCCACTGCGCCCGGCCTATTTATTTATTTTTTAGAGATGGAGTCTCGTTCTGGTTGTCCAGTCTGGAGGGCAATGGTGCGATCTTGGCTCACCGCAACCTCTGCCTCCCAGGTTCAAGTGATTCTCCTGCCTCAGCCTCCCCTGTAGCTGGGATTACAGGTGCCTGCCACCATAGCCAGCTAATTTTTGTATTTTTAGTAGAGACAGGCTTTTTCCATATTAGCCAGCCTGGTCTTGAACTCCTGACCTCAGGTGATCCACCCACCTTGGCCTCCCAAACTGCTGGGATTACAGGCGTGAGCCACCATGCCCAACTTCTGACTTATTTAAAAATCTTCAGTTTTTTGCCTATTAATTCTGTCCCTCCAGCATAAATTATCCAGTTTTAAAAAATCTTTTGGAATTACACTCCAGATTTTATAATATTTTCTCTGGAGATCTATTCCTTTGAGAGTATTAGCAAGCATAGTTGTAATTCATATTTGGAAGGTAGGAT